GCCATTCCTGTGAGTGGTTTTCACAGGGGGCCCCAGCACACTGGTTTGCACAGGAGCCTGTGGTGCTATAAGATAGTTCTGGCAAAGAGTGCAATGAAGATAACCCAACTTATAATTTATAACTCAGTGTATATCAACAAACACTCAAAACAAGGCGCCTACTTCTTCTTCTTCTTCTTTCGTTCGCATGAAATAAATTGTCTATATCTGCAAAGCCGTCTCTTGTATGAATTTCACTGTCTTTTGTAATTCACTAAGCGGCCCGTAAAGTTTGACTTCCACAAGTGTCTCTTTTGGCCAAATGTTTTGCCTGAAAGCGTTGAATATGGGACAGTCTTGAAGGATGTGATCTGTTGTTTCAGGTGCCAGTCCACAAGTACACATGGCCGATTGACCAATCTTAAATTTGTTGTACATGTGGGAGCGAAGTCTATTGTGCCCTGTTCTAAGGCGAAGGATAATAACTTGCTCTGGTCTGTCCATAATATGGTAATCATCTTGTGCCAGTTTCGGTGGCATTCTGATTGATTTGATCATTCTCTTCTTCTGTGGCGCCTACTAAATCTCCTTCATTACAAATTCGAGGGAGCTTCGTGGTCTCGAGGCATGGTGTCAGCTTCGAGTGCTAGAGGTTTCGGGTTCAATCCCCGGTAAAAGCTGGGATTTTTTCACGTGGACTTGGACTTCTAGTAATTCCTTCTGGTCCCTAGTGAGATCGGATGCCCGTTTACATTGTTGCGCGCGTAAAAAATCCCTTGCAGTTGGAAATCGAATTAAGTTGCCTAACGGCGCTGCCCGGGCAAAATTTGGAGTTAAAAATCTACCTGTAGTATTTCAGGATCCTCGTCGGTGCTACAGAGCCTGTGCACTGTGCTGAGCTTCCTCGGACTCAGACTTGAGTAAGAAGAAGAACAGAGCACATATGGGTGCCTTGATGTTGATCCGTTCTTAAAACTTATAACATTAAAAATCGATTGCAAATTGCAAGCGGAGCACTAACACATGAGTACAGACGCGCGATTTCGCACACACGGCTATTTATAACTTCTTGTAGGTAGAGGATACACCCCGGCCTGTAAGATAACACTAAGGGCAAAGGTCAAGCAGGCACAGGAATCCTAGAACAAGGAGGAGTACTCACAAGCAGAAGCCGAGGAAACCAGGGTAGCAGACGGATAAACTCGCGCCCACTGCAAGTGCGCCGTTACTCATATAAACACACTTTTAGGGTGTAGCCAACGCGCCATTTTGTTTCTGGAGTGTCGTTGGAATTTCATCTTTAGTTGGGAAGAAAATATCTTTTCTCTGATTTCAATTTGTGATAAACAGAGAAACAGGTAACTTTACAAGTGTGTTTAATTTATTGTGTATGAAGTTACGAACTTTACTGTTATTTATTACAGTCTTCAAAACTGTAGCATTTGTGAACTTCCTCGGGGAGAAAATGTCATGTACTGAATACAAGATATAGACGTATGTGAAGTTGATTAGCATAGTTTGGTACCTTTCCGTTTTTCCAGACGAGTTTTATATTGTCCTATGTGAAAGGCGCAGAAATCGCAGCCCATGGCGATGGCTAGTGAGACTAGCATGATCCCTATGTGGTTTACGTGTGTGTGTGTGTGTGTGTGTGTGTGTGTGTGTGTGTGTGTGTGTTAGAGAGAGAGAGAGAGGGAGAGAGAGAGAGAGAGAGAGAGAGAGAGAGAGAGAATGTGGTACCATTGGTCACTCACTCTATATGGATTCCTCCTCTTTCATTTTCATCACTCACAGCTTCCTTTGCTGAGATGTAGTGCCTGTGGTGGTATCTGATCTTGCTGTATTCTAACGAGATGGCCGAACCATTTGATCTACTGTTTAACTATGAATCTAGTGCAAAGTTTCGTTCCCACCATCTGCTCGCGTAAAGCGAATCCTGGATTAACATCAGCAACGTTTTGTTTCCAGCAGGGATTTATTATCCATAATATATCCAGGGTCTGTACCCCTCCCCCCGACCCCTTCCCCCCCCCCCCCCCCCCAACGAAGGTTCCGGTACTCACCATAAAGTGTCTGTTTATGTTTTATGTTTATGTTTATTCAACGGATTAACATCATGGCACACTGGTGTAACCATCAAGTGCTCCGTTCTTCTTCTAACTCTAGCCTGAGCCTGAAGAATCTCAGTACAGTGCACGAACTCCCTTGCACCGGCGAGGATACTGAAATACTTTCGGTAGATTTGTAACTTAAAATTTTGTCCCGGCAGCGCCGTTAGGCTACTCTTTTTCGATTTCGAACTGCCAGGAGATTTTTTACGTGCGCAACAATACACACGGGCGTCCGGTCTTACTAGCCAGATATCAGGGGAAATTATTAGGTCCACTTTAAAAAATCCCAGCCTTCACCGGGGCTTGAACCCGGAACATCCAGCATTCGAGGCAGAGGCAATATCTCGAGACCACTCAGTCCTCATCAAAGGGGGAACAGAACAGAGTCTGGAGAAAGAGAAGAATCAAAAAAGAGTTAAGACTCGTAAAAGTGTCTGTAAAAAGTGACGGTACTCTGGAAAAAAAAGTATCTATTACAGTAGCTTTGAATTTTGAATGTTAAATTGGGAATCGACTTCATAGCCCTCGGGACACTTCTATAAGCGCTCCGTCCAGATCTTCAGCAGAAGGCGAAGAGTTCCAACTCTGATAGTACCAGTAACTTAATGACTGTACATCCGTCCCGCCTTTTAACTGAGTGTTGAGCCTCGGCCAGATTTCCTGGTAACTTCCCGCATTCTCCTCAGACCGTAATGATCTGTTTGTGCCTCCGCACTGTGTACTCACTCCCAAAGGGCCCTCACAATATATAGCTTTTTATAGATCAATTCACCACCAAGTGGTGCAGAACCAGCTAGTCTATCTGCTTGCTCGTTTCCTAACACACCAGCCGAGTTAGAGAAACATCCAAAGGACACTAACTACCCGGGACCTCTGAGGTGATGCTTGCCACCTTGCACAGAGCTTGCATGTCTGTTTCCACCTTTCTCAGCATACTCTGTGAGTCAGTTACAGTTACGACACATGTTGTGCAGATTCTAATCCAGCGAAAGGCAGCAATGACCGCCTCCACCTACATTCCCAAGCTAGATGTTGTTGCTTTGAAAAGAAAACGATGCCTTAACAATGGTGCCGTTGCTGCGTACAGTTGTGTGTCGCTAGAAAACAAAAATAAAAGGCCCTGAATATATCTAGTAGTCCCTGTTTAGCATAAAATTTTTAACACGAACTCTTGACTGTTCAGTCTATTGGAATTCGTGCTAACGAGCATTTGCTGTAAGGATGGAGGGGAATGGAGGAATAGACTGAGAGCATTATGTGAATATAATGGAACAACACGATAATGAATCACCTATATGGATATACAATGAATCGCCTACATGGATACACAATAAATCACCTATATGGATACACAATGAATCACCTATATGGATACACAATAAATCACCTATATGGATACACAATAAATCACCTATATGGATACACAATAAATCACCTATATGGATACACAATAAATCACCTATATGGATACACAATAAATCACCTATATGGATACACAATAAATCACCTATATGGATACACAATAAATCACCTATATGGATACACAATAAATCACCTATATGGATACACAATAAATCACCTATATGGATACAAACAAATATTGTTTCAAACAGCGGCTCCCAACCTGTGGGTTCCTACCCCTTTGGGGGATAAACGACCCTTTCACAGGGGTCGCCTAAGATCATCGGAAAACACATATTCACTGAAGTTATAAATTAGTAACGAAAATCCCCCCTGTGGGTTCCGGTGCCACATTGTGGGGAAAACAAGAATAGACCCACTGCCTCCCCAAAGCATGTCGTAAGAGTCGACTAATTGGGGAGCTTCCTTTGAAGTCGGAGTGCATCTGCCGGAGAGGCAAAGAACCAACAGTCTGTATTCAAGAAAATGAGATCTGTAAAACTGATGCACACGCAACACTCGGGTTCTGGTGCAGGGCTGCAGTTCAGTAGTGGACGAGCAACCAGAACCTTCCGCCAGAGTTTACAGATGGTGAACGCGAAGAAGAAGAAGAAGTAACGAAAATCCTTTTATTGATGGGGAGTCGCCAGAACATGAGGGACTGTATTAAAGGGTCGCGACCTAAGAAAGGTTGTGAGCCACTGGGTTAGAATATTCTTCATCTTATGAAATGCTTCTTCTTCTTTGCCTGTTCTACATCTTCCATCTGTTGCTATCAAACTGCTCATATACTTCATATACTTTTTTTTTTTTTTTTTTTTACATGTTATATTATCACAATCAACGTTACTGCACACTGGCTGTTCCCATACTTGCTCAGTCCTCCGATGCAGCAGCCACTCTAATGTTCCTCTACTGATTGTTCCCATGAGAAGTTGCTTATAGTGTCCTCTGTCTTGACGATGAAAACGTTCTTCACCAAGTTTTACTCCCAGGTCATACAATTGTGTTAAGTTTCGTTTTTACACAATAAAACCGCTAGGCTTTAGGTTACTTCGTAACTATTTTGTGGAACCCCATTATAACGGCGCTGTATGGCTGAACAGGAGTTGCCGTGTTGTAGAGAATAGACGCTCGCCTGTGAATCGGAAGGTCGTGGGTTCGGGGCCTGAGGGAATCGGGTTTATTTTTTCAAAAATTATCTTGGCTCCCAGGTCGACCCAGTCTTGAGTGGGTACCAGGTGCGATCTTGGGAAGTAAAGGCGGTCGGTGCGATGTTGACCACAGTGCCAACTGGTGTATAAAATATAGGTCTAACCCTCTGGGAAAGGCTCCTTCACTTTTACTTATATGGATAAACGTTTGAATGAGGTTTCCGGGAATTGTGCCCGTTTGATTCTCATCCTTGAAATATGAATCTAACAGAATTCAAATCTGTAGGGGTATAATAATTTTTTTTTTTTTTTTTTTTGATGTTAAGTGAGTTTTGTGTGTTGTCCTCCAGCCACAATGTCCAGCACACGAACTAAGAAGAAGCAGCGAACCAGAACGCAGAGGTACACGTCTAACGTGTTTGCCATGTTCAACCAGGCGCAGATACAGGAGTTCAAGGTGGGTCATTTGGACGGGGTTGATTTATTGGTGGGTCATTTGGACGGGGTTGATTTATTGGTGGGTCATTTGGACGGGGTTGATTTATTGGTGGGTCATTTGGACGGGGTTGATTTATTGGTGGGTCATTTCGACGGGGTTGATTTATTGGTGGGTCATTTGGACGGGGTTGATTTATTGGTGGGTCATTTGGACGGGGTTGATTTATTGGTGGGTCATTTGGACGGGGTTGATTTATTGGTGGGTCATTTGGACGGGGTTGATTTATTGGTGGGTCATTTATGCAAAAGAGCATCAAGAATCTTCTCATTCTGTCTTCCTTTGTCTCTTTTTCCAAATATCTTTCCAGTGGTTACAACAAGTTCCATTTTCCCGCTTCTCATAACATGACCCAAAAAACGATGACTGTCTCTTTCTGATGTTTGTGATAAGTTGCCTTCGAGCATTCGCCACTTTCAAAACAAAACATCTGAGTTGCTCTTTTTAGCTGTCCAAGGAATTCTAAGGATTCTTCTGTAAAACCAAATCTCAAGAAGAAAAAAACTAGAAATTAGAAACACCCAAAAAAAAGTAGGCGACGACCAAGAAAAAGATGGATTAAAGAAGTTTCTGATACTTTGATACTCTACAGCATCACAGTATACCGGGCAACCGAGCGCGCCCTAGCTCGGATACCGATCATCTGTTAATGTTTTACAAAGTTCCCGTTACTCACTAAAAAAAACTGTAAGCTTGCTGATTGTTTGCTTTTCTGTTTTTTCATATACCTCAAATAAGACAAAATTAAAACTAGGTGCTTGTTTACATTTTCAGAAATGTCATATAAAGACATTCATACTTACAGGTCATATTTACAAATGTCAACAATTTACACAGTTACTGGGTTACAATTTTTTTTTTTTTTTTAAAGGTTGTTCACGACTTGTGAAACCGACTATAGACACACTCGACTACCGACCAAAGGTCAAGTCATCGGGGCGGACCTTTTTTTTTTTTACAGTTAAAATTGGCCTTAGCTCTCAGATAACCTAGCCTAAAATGGGTGTCTGATGATGTCATTGGAAGTAAAGGTGACTGATAGAATACTGACCGCACAACCCATCGAGCAATCGAAAGCGTCTGGTCTATTAAATATAGATTTGACACTATATTCTCGGCTGCACCACTGACCTAAAGGGTTTTCTTTACTTTTAATCTTACGAAATTCAGTTTTATCTTTTCAAGCTGAGTTGGGTTAATTGAAGAACCGACATCTTAGCACCATAACCTCTCCGTCCCCATCTTCAGCAGCCAGCGAATAGTTCCAATATAAATGGTGCCAGTAGCAGTCTGATCGTGTGTCCGGCTTGCCGTTTCTCTGAGCGTCAGGTAACGACCAGATTCTCTCGTCTGTCCCCGTCGCATCACTCTCACCAGTCTGTGTTGATCTATTTGCTCTTCCGAATGGTACACGTGCTCCCATAAAACCTTAACCGCGTCTGCCTTACCATGCATCAATTCCACCAAGTTGGGCAGAGCCAGCCAATCTGTCTGTCTGTTTATTTTCCAATACAGCGACATTTCCGGAGAAAAGATTCAGACAATTCTCTTCATCCGTGTCTTCCGAAACGAACCTTCCACTCTGCAAGTATGTATGTCCCCAGCATGCTTTCTCAATCTGTTGCGGTCACAATGTATGTTTGTCTGCGTGCGTGCGTGCGTGTGTGTGTCTTTAGTCCCAAACAACGTATAATGCGTGACTAGATGTACTTAGTGAGTCTCAATCACCGAACATGTGTTTCATTACATTTTAATTTTGGTCGGAGACTACATGGAAATCTGGCTACTGAGGTGTCCTCGTCGTCTGTGTTTAGCTATGTTAGCTTTTTTAAAGTGTTTGATCCTTGCGCATTGGCTGCCAAATGGTCTAGTACTGGCAGACAAGAGTCTAGGTTTTACTTTGTCTCCATTGTGTGTCTCTTTAACCAACACCCCATGTTTTGCCATCATGCTTCACCCTCGTTGCATAACCCTTCCCTGTTACAGGAGGCTTTCAACATGATTGACCAGAACAGGGATGGGTACATCGACAAGGAGGACCTGTTCGAGATGTACACGTCCCTGGGTAAGAACCCCACAGACAAGGACTTGGACATCATGATCAACATGGCGCCGGGGCCCATCAACTTCACAATGTTCCTCACCTTGTTTGGGGAGAAGCTCAACGGAACCGACCCTGAGGAGGTCATCAGGAACGCTTTCGCTTGCTTTGATGAGAGAAATGCAGGTAGAGTTTGTCTGATGATATTTGATTCTCTTATCCTCGCGTGAGGAGAACGCTGGGGTCTCAAGCGGGAGACCCGGGTTCAAATCCTCGGTAAGGCTGGGGATTTTGTTGTTGTTGTTGTTGAAGGCAAAAATTGTATCCTCACCTGCACAGTCGTGGCGACATCACTAGCCATGCGGCCGTAAATCCTCAGGCTCAAAATGACTTTGGCTCCCAGGTTGACCCAGCCTTGAGTGGATACCAGGTACAGTCCTGGGAAGTAAAGGCAACCGGCGTGATGTTGACCATATCACCCACTAAGTGCCGACTGGTCTATAAAATATAGGTTTAGCCCTATATACCCAATACGACTGAAAGGCGTGGAAAAGGGTCCTTTACTTTTTACTTTTATCCTCGTGTGGGTTTCGTTCTAGACTCCATTCGGGAGGTTGGGGGGGGGGGGAGAATAGACCCACTGCCCACTAACGAGCATGTCGTACAAGGCAGCTAACTAGGGGTGTCTCATTGGAAGTCAAAGTGCATCTGCCCGTGAGGCTAGGAACAAACACTCTAGACACAAACAAGCCAGATATGTAAAACGGAAATGCATGTCATGTTTTGGAACAAGGCCAAAATCTAGAAGCGGTGAATAAGCAGAACTTTCCCCTGGAGTTTACATCCGGTGAAGGCCAAGAAGAAGAAGAATCTATTGTTGGCGTTTATATTGGATCTTTTATTCCTGTTGATGTTATTGTTGGCTGTTTATACAGAATGTTTATACTCCTAATGTACTCTGGATCATCGCCAGAGCTGTGAGGTTCGTGCTTTGTGTGATTCAATTATCTCGGTAGGCGGCTAGCCTTTCAAGTCTCTTCTTGAACAGGGATGGCATGTTAAACTGGTGTTATATTTACTGTCACTATTTCGGGAGGGGTGGGGGGGGGGGGGGGGGGGTGGTTCAGCGCAGAATTTTTGAGTACAGCAAATGTAACTTGATCTCTTGGTGAAAGTTCAAAAGGGATCAGATACAAGATATGATTACAACTGGCAAGTACTGTGAAGCTATCCCAGGAGGCTGGGAATGAATCTGTTAGAAAATGGGAATGGATTGGACATGTCAACCACTGTATCAGGTGCCTTCTCAACAACGAAGGTTGGTTGCAATGGATCTCCAACACTCTTTGTCACTCACCATGTATGTACACTTTTGCTGTTTACCTCTTGCTTACAATTTGTTCTGCAGTATGGTTTTTCAAACAGTGGTGGTTTTTACCTCTATATATATATATCATATTTATTATAATATATATATATATATATATATATATATAATCAGACATCATGTAAAGTCTGAACTGATTGCCAGATTGGCACTGTGAAATTTTCTCAAGACATTTGGAATAGGTGATATTAAAGATAAAGTCACAACTGGCAAGATATTAAAGTTATTTAAGAAGTCGGTCACTCTGTTGGTTGGTTGGTTGGTTGGTTGGTTGCAGTCCCAGCTTCAATGCACATTGGTCATCTCTTAGTTGCTCCATTCCTGTGTCAGAAAGAACCATACAGAATGCTTATCAGGTCCCTTGTTAAAACACAGACTGCAGAATTTGCAAAGCAATAGAATGTAAAGAAAGTAAAGATTCCTTTTCCCGCCTTTAGGAGCATCGGGTATATGGGAAGAGCACCCATATTTTTTACAGACCAATCGGCATTAGGTGGGTAATGGGGTCAGCATTATGCCGGTCGTCTTTACTTCCCCAGGACATACATCCTGGTATCCATTTTAGGCTGGGTCGACCTGCAACGCCCCATACCATGATAAAAATCCACGCAGCCAGCAGTGGGTTTCGATCGTGGTATGTTGGACTCACAACGCCTAAGCAATAGTATACACGTATTAAATGAATAAGGCAGCCATCTGTAGTGCCAACACAAACAGCCTGGTGCTAAAGTTGCGGTACATCATTGATGAAAGCAGCAGCTGCAAATATATCGCATTTTTGTGGCTATAGGCCACCCGTCATTTTCTGAATATGCATATTACAATACAAATCACCGAAATAAACCAGTTATTGTTACGTTTCCGTCTAGGTTACATTCCCGAAGAATACCTCCGTGAGTGTCTGATGACCATGGGTGACCGCTGGTCAGAGGACATGGTGGAAGAGCTCCTCCATGGAGCTCCCATCCTAGAAGGTCGCTTCGACTACCAAGAGTTCACACGCACCCTCAAACATGGTGCCAAGGAGAAGGATGAAGTTCAAGGTCAGGCAGAAGGGCAAGGTCCAAGCAGTGAAGGTCAAGAAGACAGCAGTGCCAGTGCCACTGCTAGCACAGAGGTTAAAGGTTAAGGTTCAACTATGGTACTTTCCATTAAAAACATGAATTTTTGTAATGTACTGTTTATGTAAAGTAAATGAGGTAAAGCTTCATGAGGTCTAAAAGGCTTTTATGGTAGGGCAATATAGTTGAGAAGGGCAGATAACATGGAAGCGAAAACTGCGTACACAAATGATATGAATGGAAGCAGACCAGGAGGCAAACCCAGAAAATTGTGGAAAGACAATCTACAAGCAGATGACTTCAAGACAACAAAGAGAAAGAGAAGGAAATCATACAGATAAAAGGAGACGTTGGTATCTGCAGTATCAAGGTCTCAAAATGCTGAATCTACATATTTGTCTATTCTAGAAAATAACTTGACCATGTCCGAGCACTTATGGGAGTGTCCCGAGTGCTGTGATATTAATTCTTAAGGCAAATGGTTTATTTTTACCAGCCAATCAGAAGTTGGTTTTCGAATAGGGCTATCCTCCGAATAACGGTCCTAAATTATCGAAGCGGAAAATATACCCTAACAGGGCCTCAGTCAGGTGTTAATTGCGCACTTCCGGAGACTATAGTGCCACTGCCCAATTGAGAACTTCCGGCAACTTCCGAGATCGCCGAAAGTATCCCCCACGCCGCTAACACTCACGCAGTGTGGATTGGGGCTAAACTAGATGGCTAGGACTCACGAGCAAATAAGATAAAAGAAGCTGCAGGAGATGCGGTAGCTGCTGCTCGTGAGTCCCAGCCATCTAGTCGCCGGAAGCGCGCAATTTAAGACGACAGAAGTGCACAATTGACACGTGACTGAGGCCCTGTTAGGGTATATTTTCCGCCTAGATAATTTAGGACCGCTTTTCGGAGGATGTCAGCTCTGTAGCTAAGTCGATGGGAACGCTTCGTAATGCCGGGATGCCGGATTTGATCCCAGCTACGGGCCATGCGCCTTGCGTTGGTTTCGACAGTGGTATCAAGAAAGCCGACCGTCCAGAAAGCAATAGCAAACAACTGGACGTAAATTACCTAGAGAAACCACACAACAGCCAGGGGCTGTTGGGGTTGGTTCTGCAGCGTCCTGTAAAGGATACGCAACTAACCTTATTCGGAGGATAGCCCGGAATAGCTCTAGACAGGGATGTGAAGAAGAATATGTGAATTTATTGTTAATGAAGAATAAACCTTGCAAGTGCGGCTGTTTATGTTGATAAGTGTTTCATAAATTATAAAATATGAAAAAGAATTCAGAATTTACACACTCTGAAAAAATCCATGCTTTTCCCACTCCATATCTAAAGATACATGCAATAGCGAGTTGGATCAGATGTGGTTACCAATGCCATATGAATAGACTTTCAGTGAGATTAAAATAAGAAGGAAGCTTAAAAAGAAGGAAGCTTAATAAGAAGGAAGCTTAATAAGAATGAAGCTTAATAAGAAGGAAGCTTAATAAGAAGGAAGCTTTAAATGTTAAAACCTAAACTGCAAACATAGCATAAATAAATATGTGTTCTTCATACATGAATTATTCTACAAATTATTAATTTGTGTATCTTTATACTTGTGAATAATATAGGTTATAACATATCTCATTTGGGCTTCTTTTTGTCATTGTTGTGAGGTGTGTATGGGTCAGGTAACGTGTGCCTACCGATAACTTCCTGGATTCCCAACCTAGGTGTCATGACTCTGGAGGAGTGTGGAATCCGAAAGCTCTACAGCTGACCCCAGTGACCTACAAAACACCTGGACTCATAAACCATATGACAAAGCCCATATTTCTTCTCCTTCTGTTTGCCCTAAACTATTTCAGTCCCAGGGGCTGCGTGGTCTCGAGGCACTGTGTCCGCCTCGAGTGCTAGAGGTCCCGGGTTCAAGCTCCGTGAGGCCTGAGACTTTTTTCATGTGGACTTCTAGTTAATTCCACCTGGTCTCTGGGTAGTAAGATAGTAAGATCGGATGCCCGTGTGTATTGGTGCGCAGGTAGAATATACCTTGGCAGTTGGAAATCGAAAAGAGTAGCCTAACAGCGCTGCCTGAGCTAAATTTGGATTTAAAAATCTACCCAAAGTATTTCAGCATCCTTGCTAGTGCAACAGTTCGTGCACTGCACCGAGATTCTTCAGACTCAGGCTTGAGTTAGAAGACGAACGGAGCACTTATGGGTTACACCCATGTGCCATGACGTTGGTCCGTTGAATAAACATAAAACATATTTCACTCCCATACAATGTGTAATGTGTGATTAGCACTTCTGTGAATCCCACAGAACATGTATACCATGTTCTTGTCCTTTTACAGTTGGTCACCCCATACTAACAAATCTGGCTTTTCCCAGTAATTATCAAATTTGAAAGCAATGTACTCATGGCTTTTCCTATTAGTTATTTATACATATGGGCACCTCCGGTAAAACTTTGTGGTACTCAAGAAGTTTTTTTTTTTAATGTGGATGGCAAATTGAAGTTTATAGCCATATCTGCACCTTTCGACCCACTCATTTAATCTCAGTTAACCCTTAACAGTTATTGGTAAGGAGCCTAACGCCAGCTGGGCTTACTAGTTGCAATCATTTTGAGTATGCTCTGTAATTCCCGTGCCTCCAAAATGCACAATGGAACACTTTTATCTGAAAAGGCGTATAGTTGTCAACAATGTTAAGAAGCTGCAGGTCTTTTCCTTCTTTTTTTTTTGCCCTGCCCAAAATGAGACAGCGGAAACCCGAACGTGGGAAATTCAGACTAGCTCAAAATCTTCACAGTGCAAGACAAGCAACCTAATCAACTCGCCATGAAGACCCTCTTGTTCTTGTTACAGTCTGTGTGTGTGGCACTGGTAGTTATGTCCATCCACAATCTTCTGTCTCCTGTACTGTACTTTAAATCAATTCTGACACAGATGACCTACCACACTATGATGTCAAACTGTCCAGCATCTTCTCTCTCCACTCTCTCTGCCTATTTTCCCCTCCAACTTTCCCACTGGTACGATGCAGACTCCCACATAGTGACACTGCCCTGGAACTGAAATTGTGTTCCCGATGTTTAAACTGAATAAAGCTCTTGCATGGAATCATGGAAGCTCAACAGTTCCTTCAGCCTCCATATTAAAACTCTTGACAACCCACCACAGGGAAGGGTTGAGATGGACATGCAATCAGACTGTTACAAGTACCATTGGAACTGGAAGTTTGCGCTTGCTGCTGAAGATAGGGAAGAAGCGTTTACATGAATGTCCCAAGTGCTATAATGTCAGTTCTTAACTCATAACTCGAAACAAAATTACATTCTAACTGCAAACCCTGTAACTACATTAGGGTTTTGACAGTATTCTTTCTTTTCTATAATTCATGAACACAACATGTTACTTTATCAATAAGTAATTAGGTAAAGTCAGTAAAGGAACCTTTTAGGCACAATGGGCATATAGGGCTAGACCTATATTTTACAGACCAATCGGCACTTGGTGGGGGTTGTGATCAGTATCCCGCTGGCGGCTTTTCCTTCCCAGGACTGCACATGGTACCCACTCAAGGCTGCGTCGACCTGGAAAAATGTCAGGACCCAAACCCAGGACCTTCCTATCTGCAGGCAAGCATCTAGCTGAGACTCCCAATAAGTAATTAATCAGTCAATAAAGTACCATCTCCACAATGAAGGGTGGCTGCAATGGATCGCTAAAGCACCCTGTCTCATGTCTAGGTTGTTCAAACTCTCAGACTCCTCTTTATCCATCACCTGAAGTTGTCATCCCCCTTCTATCATTGTGTACCTTTTGCTATACTACCTCTGACTTTTCCATCCAGTAAAGGTATTATCATATTCTAACTAGCAAACTCTAAACCTCTAAAATAAAACCACTAAAACAATAAACACAGGGTTGTTGCTTTGTTACAAGCAGGTACTCCACATCCTACAGTCTCTTCTATAAAGTCTGGCTCCTCCAAGATTGGCACCTTTCCGTCTTTCCAGACGATAGTGTTGCATTGTGCTTTGAGGAGGCATGGGACTCACAGCCTATGGCAATGGCCAGTGTGACTAGCAAAACCCGCCTGAGTTAAGAAAAGTCTTCAACAATTATAGCAGGGGATTTCAGGACCATTGTTGTGAACATTTGTGTCTAGTTCATCCTCTCCATAGCACAAAGCCTGGGCATTAATGTAGAGACCATATGTTTCCCCTGAATCATAATCTCAACCTGCCTTGTTTACCCCAAAAGAAAGGTAACACCAGTATGTTTGGAACAAAGCAGGCTGAAGAAGCTGCCAGATCAGAAGACCAGTGCTCTACCTGAATGACGAGCATTAGAAATAAACTCCTAAAGAATGTAGACCATTCAGGAAAGTCATGTTTGGAAACTATAACTTTAGGAATAAATTCACACGGGAGCAACAACTAAAAAATATGTTGAGAAAAATTATAAGGAGCATAAAACTAAGCAGTGTCTCCCAAACTTGTCTTAGTCGAGGCCCCTTTTTCCCAATTAAAATTCTCCAAGGCGCCCAAACCTAAGTAAAAAGCATGACTATTCGTATGTAAAAGATTTTTTTTTTTTAAATTTAACTCCTGTATCTTTGAATATTTTGCGGTGCCCCTGTGAAGAGGTCACGGCTTCCCTGGGCACCGCGACGCACAGTTTGGGAATCACTTAAACTTAGCATAAATTATGAGGGATACACAGTAAGTAAAGTAACTTAAGGAACCTTTTCCACACCTTTAGATGTACTGGGCATATGGTGCTAGATCTATATTTTATAGATCATTTGGCACTTGTTAGGTCAGGTCAGCCGCCTTTACCTCCCAGGACTTTACCTGGCATCCATTTTAGGCTGGGTCAACCTGGCAGCCATGGAAATATTTTTTTTTAAATTAATCCAGCTCGATGCGGATTTGAATTTACAACTTTCAAGCCTGAGACAAACACATGCTACACCATGGTTGTTGAAGGGTGCAAAACAGTAAACATAAATTTACGAGAGGCACACAATTTTAGAGACATTTGTTTTAGTAGTAAACAAACTTTATGAAGGAAATTAGGAATACATTTTCAAGAAGAATTTTTCAGAACAAACTTTCAAAAAAACAAGCAGCAAATTCATCTAAGAGAATGCCATAATGTTTAGGAAATTAGCACTTATTAACAAGAGAATTTATCACAGTGGCAGCTAAGAACATAATGTACATATAAACATCATGAAATATATATATATTTAAATATGAACATATTGCAACAACAACAAAAATGAATATCTTTGGTGTTTTAGTTTTCTTTTTTTTTTTGGGGGGGGGGGGTTTAAATCAGGATTGCAGTCTGTAGGCTAGTCCCTGCGGTCTTCCGCTGGCTTGAGAATCTGTTGTACACACATGTTGTGATTGTAACTGACTCACACAACACAGCATGCTGAGAACAGTGGAGAAAGGTGTGCTCCGTGCAGAGTGGCAAGCATCCTTAGGACTTTTTCTCCATGTGATGCTAGTATGTTGGGAAATGAGCTGGCAGATAGACCGGTCGGTTCTGCACCACTTGGTGGTGAATTTGATGTATGACAATCTAGATGTTGTGAGGGTTCTTTGAGAGTGAGTGAAAAGTGTTTCCGTCTGCTCATGTTTATTGATTACTCCTGTATACATCTGTTTATATTTCCGCCCAAACAAAAATTAAAGTAAATACAATTTTATATTAAAAAATAATAATATTTGCATATTTTTGAAAAACTTTTATGTACCCCAATGGTCCAGTGCTTTTAATTCTTCCTGGCATAAGACATACTTCTGCAGCGCCACTGGCAGACGCAGCTGTCTAGACTCGGCTACAATATTTGTGGTCAGACACTTTCGAATGACCTTGCGGCAGCAGCTCTGGAGCGACTCCGCCCCAGAAAAGGAATTTACCAGGCTGTTGTACAGTAACTTGAATTGTCTGCAGTAGTCCAACACCCACTTGTAGTTGTACTGTCTGAAATCACAGCCGCAAGCAATCATCACCTCTACCAGAACTCGATCTGCTCGCTTAATCGCGATCAGTAAAGGAATTTCGTTGCAAAATCGAAGAGCTTGAAACAGTGCCAGTTGTACTCTGCAGTTTCTTAGCTGCACGTTTAGATCACAGTTGTGAAAAATCAGCCATTTTATTAACCAATGGTTGCCAGTCTCTACAGCTTTCTGTAAACAAGTCTTGCCTTGAGAGCCGCGGGAGTTGACGTCTGCTCCATACTCAAGCATTGTGTCCAAACAGGAAATGATGTCATCCCTGCGTGGACGGGGAGACTGAAATGCATGATGGAATGCGGTGTCGCCGTTGTAATCTGTCAGTTTCATATCACAGCCTCCCTCCAGAAGGATCTAAAAATTTTATTAAAAAATAATAAAACAAAATTATTCCAAAAGATCGGCTCTGTGGCTAAGTCGATGCGAGTGCTTCGTAATCCGGAGATGTCGGGTTCGATCCCAGCTGCGGGCCATGCGCCTTGCCTTGGTTTCGACAGTGGTATCAAGAAAGCTGACCGTCCAGAAAGCAATGGCAAACTACTGACGTAAATTTGCCTAAAAAAGCCACACAACAGCCAGGGGCTGTTGGGGTTGGTTCTGCAACATCCTGTAAAGGATACACAACTAACCTATACCAGAAGGCTTTCAAGACCGATATTAAAACATAACATTAATTTGTTTATATCAGAACATTAACATAGATTCTTTAAGTCCAAGGCAACTTCATATATGATGAATGATTACTATGTTTATAGTACATGTTTCTTAATAACTCGTGTCCCATTCTTCTGGTAACCCATAATGCTACAGTTGACCCTATACATAGTACAATGATACCTCAGCTAAAGAGGAGCCCTTCGAAAGAATTTTTTGGCTAACAAAGATATTGTTCACTGTTTTTTGGCCCTCAGCTAACAAATCTAGATTCAGCTAGTGCTTGCTTGTTATACCCCACAAGGACATCACACAAGGACATCACACAAGGGGACGGCGGGTATTCAGCTATTGAATGTTTTAATTAATGCATGAGCTAACATAAAGTAGATGTGCTGTGGACTGAACCCTATGGAAATCCCATTTTTGCTATGAACATATAACCTAATGAATGTGATTCTTCTGGGTAAAATTATCTAAATTAGCTGAGATATCGCTGCACATGTTTCCTAACTACGCTTGTCGCGTTTTTCTGTTTCATAAACCCATTATGACCCAGATGTTAACCATGAAACCATTATGACCCAGATGCTAACCATGAACCCAATATGACCCAGATGTTAACCATAAACCCATTATGACCCAGATGTTAACCATATACCCATTATGACCCAGATGTTAACCATAAACACATTATGACCCAGATGTTAACCATAAACACATTATGACCCAGATGTTAACCATGAACCCATTATGACCCAGATGTTAACCATAAACTCATTATGACCCAGATGTTAACCATAAACTCATTATGACTCAGATGTTAACCATGAACCCATTATGACCCAGATGTTAACCATGAACCCATTATGACCCAGATGTTAACCATAAACACATTATGACCCAGATGTTAACCATGAACCCATTATGACCCAGATGTTAACCATAAACACATTATAACCAGATGTTAACCAGTTCTGTCTGATAGTCAGATTGTTTTAATTCAAGAATACTTAAAGATTTGTAAGGGGCTGCGTGGTGTCCGCCTCGAGTGATAGAGGTTACGGGTTCAATCCCCGGTAAGGAATGGGATTTTTTCACGTGAACTTGGACTTCTAGTAAATCCCCCTGGTCTCTGGATAGTGAGATCGGACGCCCATGTGCATTGTTGCACACATAAAAAATCCCTTAGCAGTTGGAAATCAAAAAGAGTAGCCTAACGGCGCTGCCCGGGCAAAATTTGGAGTTCTACCCAAAGTATTTCAAGATCCTCGCCGGTGCTACATACTGTGTTGTATTTAATACTTTGTTGATAAAGACTTTAGTCATAACATTCAGTTGTATTTGTGCGCATTTTTTTAATTCTATCCAATGAGCTGTCTAGGCACATTTTGGGTTGTATTTAGGACTTTCTTCTTCTACTTTCGGCCATGAAAGGGCTGTTAATAGTGTTGTAGTTTATAGTTGGGCTGTGATATCTGCACCTTTCGGCTAAAAACATTAGATTTACACATTCGATTTCAGAAAAACATGAATAGATCTTCCCTTTACAATATGCTTGTTAAGTGGCAGTGGCCCGGCTCTCTAGCGTAGTTGGTTAAACCCGACATCACAGTGACTGGGTGATGAACTCCTTGTGGTCCAGGTTCACTCCCGGGGGTAAGCAGACAAGCCACATTTCTCCCAGATTTACGGTACATATCATGGAATCAAGGCCGAAAGGTTGCGATATCCGTAGTACCGAGCCAAAGGATTAAAAACTCATGGTTTCTGGATATTTAAAAAAAAAAAAAAAAAGTGGCAGTGAGTCTGTTCTTGTTCCCCCTAAACTGGGGCCCAAGACCCACTTAAAGTTTTTGAAATCCACAAAAAATCTTACAACAGAGTGCCAACCTTAAGACATCCAGGCCTGCCTCTTGCAGCCTCCATCAGGGGAGTTCTTGTCTCCACATCGAACTTGTCTTTCTCTACCCCGGGTAGTGCGAGCACAAATGACAACATGGCTTCATTGGCAATCTACATAAGAATATAGCGATTCACATATTATATACTGGAATCTTCATGTGGGTTGCAGCACTTCAGAGAAAACAGAGACAAAGAAAAAAGAGAAAGGGTTAAATAACAAAATAAATCATCTTGAAAAATACTGTATTCACTCAGTATACAAAAGGCTGAACATCAAAAATGACCACTAACAAATTTGTGGAATATATTTTCACTACACTGCACTGCCGGGGGTTGCCGTGACCTAGCGGCTAGAGCTTGCGTGCGGTTCGGAAGGTCGTGCGTTCGCTCCCTGGTGAAGCCTGACTTTTGTCAAAAATTACCTTGACTCCCAGGTTGACCCAGCTTTAAGTGGGTACCGGATGCAGTCCCAGGAAGTAAAGGCGGCCGGCGTGATGCTGATCACATCACCCATCTTGTGCAGTTTGGTCTATTAAAATCTAGGTCTAGCCCTATGTGCCTAAAGGCGTGGAAAAGGGAACTTCACTTTTTTTTTTAAACATTGCACTGTCACTCACAAGGCATGTGTGTGCAAAATGTCAGGAAACAGAATAAAAATTGAGGCAAAATTTGTACCAGAAACAAACAAACAAAAAGCAAACTTAATAAAATCTTATTTTAAAAAAATAACAGACTCACTGCCCTTTCAATAAGCGTACTGTACCTTAGGTGACCACTTAGGGGTTTATTGAAATTGGATGTGATGGGCCGAAAGGCTGTAAACCACAATACACTGTGCTAACCACCATTTCAAGGATGAATGCAGAAAGAGAGATAAATGACCCTTTTGACATCTGTAACTCATCAAGCACATAGGGCTAGACCTATTTTATTTTTTTAACTGACCAATCAGAAGTTGATGGGTGATGTTGTCAACTTTATGCCAACCATCTTAAGCTCCATGAAGATGATCATTCTTTATAAAACTAACAACTTTCTCACTGAAAGAATTACACTGTTAGAAGACAGGGCAATGTCTGTTTCTGTTATGTGGGGGGGGGGGGGGGGGTGGCAACTGAAGCTGTACTTACTTTCACAGCCTCATGCAGCATGCAGCGCCCTCTAAACATCATGTTGACGTCTGCACCCTCTGAGAGCAGACACAGAATGACATCCTGTCTTGACATTTGTATACACCTCTACAAATGTAACAAAGAGAGGGGAGGGAGAGACCGGTATTAATTGTGCAGGATGATGTCTATAAATGAACGTTTAAAATAGTAAATATAATAAAAATGAATGAAGCAGAGAAAAAAAAAGCAGTTTTTATAATTCTTGATACTAGACAATCAATGGACACAATATGAATGTTGGGAAATGAACAGGCAGACAGACTGGCTGGTTCTACACCACTGGGTGGTTAATTTATGCAAGACAAGCTAGAGCTTATCAATGCCCTTTCTGATCAAGTGAATATTGCACAGGCACGAATAGATCATATGGTCTGGAGAGAACGGTACAGCTAGAAGTGACCAGGGGATCTGGTTGATACTCAACACTCAGAGGAAAGGCCAGACGGACATACAATAAAACTACTACTGGCACCATTAGAATTCACTGGCTGCTAACGATGAGGATGGAGCACTTGTCCCAAGTGCTGTGATGTCAATTTAACAAAACCCAAAGGTAATTAGGAAATAGACAATGAACAATTTTTTTTTAATGTTTAAAAAGAAAAATATCAACAGATGGGTTAAAAAAAGAAACATTTTAAAGAGAAGAAGCCAGAACTCAATGTGCTTAGAAAATCAATCATCCATATCGCAGGAGTAAAGGTAGCCTGAAAACTGTAATGTTTTGGCAGGGCAGACCAAGCCCTTAACCTTGGATGGCACCTGGTCTAAGAGGGAAGCTCCAACAGGCAGACAGACATGGCACTCCTCTTCTGATCCGGCAACTTCTGCTGCCTGCTCTGTTAAAAATGCATTGACTGGTGTTATCTTTCTTTTGAAATAAACAAGGCAGGCTGAGAGAGGGATCATGCTGTAAGGGCAACATATGATCTCTACGAATCTGGCTTCTCTCAAAAATATTCATTTCTCCATTTCTCCTGCATGCTCTTGTTTTCTCACTGGAGAAGCTGTGAAACGAATATTGTTGAGAGAAGCCAGATTCACTGGACCGGATTCCATCCATGATATCTAAAGGATTGCACAGGATGGAATGGAAAAGAGGACTAGACTGCATGCCCTGTGTGCCATGTAATGGCACAACAATGTGATGATGATAGTAATCAATACTGTTGCTGTAGAACAGAAGTGTGCAACATCCAGACCACAGACCATATAAGGACCACAGACCATATAAGGACCACAGACCATATAAGGACCACAGACCATATAAGGACCACAGACCATATAAGGACACAGACAGGACCACAGACCATATAAGGACCATATAAGGACCACAGACCATATAAGGACCACAGACCATATAAGGACCACAGACCATATAAGGACCACAGACCATATAAGGACCACAGACCATATAAGGACCACAGACCATATAAGGACCACAGACCATATAAGGACCACAGACCATATAAGGACCACAGACCATATAAGGACCACAGACTGATGAGCTCTAACCCAGCCAAGCAAACCAAAGAAATATATTTATATATATCATCATCATCATCAGGTGCTTGCCGACTGGAGTGGGCAATCATGCCTCTCCATAATCTGCGATCTCCTGCAGCATGTATCAGTTCGTGTGCCGATACACCTTCATGCCATTCAACGAGACTCTCAAGCATCTTCTCTCGTTGTCTTCCTCTATCCCTCCTTCCACAGATCTTTCCTGTGGTCACAACATGTTCTATCTTCCCTCTTCTCATAACATGGCCGAAAAATGATGACTGTCTCCTTCTGATGTCTGTGATAAGCTGTCTTTGGGCTCCCGCCTCTTTCAAAACCTCTTGGTTGCTCTTTTTGGCTTTCCAAGGTATTCTAAGCATTCTTCTGTAAAACCACATCTCTGAGGCCTCTAAAAATTGTTTGGCCTACCTACTGATTGTCCAGGATTCACAGCCATATGTTAAAACTGGATGTATGTAGCAAGCAAGAATTCTTTTTCTAACTCTCAATGACAAGGATATATTGCACAAGATGTTTTTCATTTTATAAAATGCAAATATATATATATATAAAACATTATTACTAGGAATCTTGAGTGGGTACCAGGTACAGTCCTGGGAAGTAAAGGCAGCCGGTGTGATCCTGACCACATCACCCACCAAATGCCCTTTGGTCTATAAAATATAGGTCTAGCCCTTTATACCCAACACGCCTGAAAGGCATGAAAAAGAGTTCTTTACTTTTTATTACTACTAGAAATGAAATTAAAATATGATGGCCTTACAAACAATGTTAATCCAACAATAGGTGACGACATGAATCCCGGATGCACTTCTTCCGTGTCCCGGATCAAGCAGCACAGTTTGTCACAATGTCTGTCTTCCTGCTTGAAAGCATGAGACATAAACCAGACAGCCAGGTCATCACCTCTGTGTCTCGGGGTGTCCAGAAAATATAAGCAGTCAGCCGGCATGACTGCAGACATTTTGTGTGGAGTGAGCAAACTGTTTTAAAATGTAAACCAAATGCTGTCACTCCTGTGGATTAAAAGAAAACATTCTATGATGGAAAGTTTATTCTGTTAGATGTTGTCACTTGTGTGCAGTGAATGAAAAACATCTATGATGAAAACAGTTTATTAACAATCCACTTCTGGACTGCAGTCCTGTTTTAGTTTTAGAGCTTGAGTGTTGCGTGTGCATCCGTTTTACAGATCTGACTCATCTGTATGCAGACTGCTGGTTCCTTGCCTATCAGGCAGACGCACTGTGACTTTGAAGAAAGCTCCCAATTAGTCGACTCTTACGACATGCTTTTTGGGTAGGCAGTGGGTCTAGTGATAAGTGACAGTAGTGACACTAAGAATGATTTTTAGAATCCTACATCAAGTAGGAGTATAGTTTATTTAATTTACGCAATTATTAATTAACAATTCCGGATTTGTATTGTAATTCTTCTATTTAATAATATAATTTATATTTAATAATAATAATGTTTGATAATATTGTATGTAACAAACAAATTCTAAAGCAGTTCTAACAATAGATACACCCAACAACAGCTTGTCTAGTCAACTATTAGAAAACAGACGAACTTCTACATCGTCAGTTTCTGCTTTGTTATTGTTGACATGTCCGCCACCTTTCTATCGCCACGGACACCGTGTTAGATTGTTTGTCTATGCGGTGGAAGCGGCATTGTCAAGTCATCGGCAGCTGTTTGTAAAAGCTTGGTACAAAATATTCAACTCTAGATTATCTTCTTCTTCTTCTTCAGCATTCCGAGCCCTTGAGGTTCACTGCTGCAGATATAACCTGCCTCCACTCATCTCTCTGGTTGGCCTTCTCTTTCCAGTTGGTGACACGAAGTGTTTGCAGAACGTTATCTTTCTATTGTCTTCTTGGTCTGCCTCGTGGTCTACTACCATTCGTCTTCCTTGTGTATAGTTTTTACTTCTCTGTCAACTGACATTCTTTCAATATGTCCCAATCATTTCGGTCTATTAGCTCTCAAGATGCCAGTGATTGATAAGTGTTGATTTAAACAGATTATAACTCTCCATTATTCAGTTTTTAAAACAAGTTACGCATTTTCAGTTCTAATGTTATTTCAGTTTTAACGAATTCAAGTTAAAGTTGGAGAAGCATTAAAGACATGGAACGAAAGTTAAATACATTCGAAAACAAACGTCTGGAGAAAATGCTCAAAATAAAATGCGATGAATTCAAAAGTGGTGAAGAAATAAAAGAAATGTTTGGGCAACCACTAGTATCAACAGAGAAAATTGCGCCACAATGAACACATCTTGGGAAGAAACCAGTAGAGAATCTCCAAACATACATTAAAATAAGAAATAAAGGGAATAAGGAGGCGAGGATGCTCAAAAGAAACCCTAAAATGAACGTTGATGAGAGAGGACAAAGCTGCTGAACTGCATTCTATCCATGATGTTAAACTGGTTGCACGGGTTATAACGGAATGGAGGATATGGACTGCGAGCCCTTTGTGACTTATAATGGCACAACACGATAATAAATGAATGCATTCAAAGTAAGTACCGTGTTTCCATTAAAAAAATGCAGGGTCTTTGGTTGATGTTTCGTCCAACAGACTCCTACAGCCTTTTTTTCAGAGGATGTCGTTGTTTTTTATGCCTGTCTCCTTTCCTTTCTTGTTTCCCTCCGACATACCTAATTAAAATTTATTTTGCCTTTTACGTAAATATTGTTTATTTTCAAATGCATTACTTTATAATTCAATACGCCCGTCCTGTGTTACAACGGACCAGGAAAATCAGTCGACTAATCTGCCGTTGTGGTGACGTTGTCGGCCTAGTCTGGCGTCAGGTTTTGGAGTTCGTATCGGTTCTTCTTGTGAGGACCATGGTACGTCGTCTTCTGGCAAGTCTGGGTTGAAGTAGTTCGGGTCCTCCAGCTCCCTGATGCGTTGAGTCATTTACAGAGTTGTTTCTTCAGTTAACTGCCACATCAGAGGCGTCGACAACTTTCTTGTCTGAAACTTGACTTTTTCTGAGGTTCGGTTCCCTGAGATTTGGGTGATTGTCTTTGCTGTCTCCTTGCTGCTTCTTTCCGTGTTTTCTCTCTCTCTTCCATAACTCTTTTGGTTGCTTGTAGCTCCTTGCTTAATCGGGCGTTTTCTTCGTATGCTTTCCGCAACTTTTCCTCTGTTTCAGCAAGAGCTTTTTTAATCATTCTGACTTTTTTCGCGAGCAGCCGCTGGGTCTCTCGCAGATCTTTGAGACTGATCTCCTCTTTCTTTGCTTGGGTTGACTGCTTTTTCTGTGTCTGGATAACAGCGAGGACATCCATGATGTCTTCCTTAAATTGCTCCATGTTTGTTTCAATCCGTTTGTGGGTTTCGAGAGTCGCTTGTGTGATGGTTCTCAGACTTGTTTCTTTATCCATTTCTTCATCTAGGTGGGATTTGGAGGCTGCTTTCTCGTCTCTGAGAGCATGGATTTCACTGTGTTCTTTTTGCCCTTTCATTTATGATGTTTCCTTCTTGGTTTCAGCTCCTTTCTGATTTTGCCAGGTGTATATCGTAGGAGGTCGGCTCTGTGGCTAAGTCGATGCGAAAGTTCGTAATGCCGGGATGACGGGTTCGATCCCAGCTGCGGACCATGCGCCTTGCGTTGGTTTCGACAGTGGCATCAAGAAAGCCTACAGTCCTTAAAGCAGTGGCAAATTAGTGAACTTTAATTTGCCTATAAAAACTACACAACAGCCAGTGGTTTGGGGTTGGTTCTGCAACGTCCTGTAAAGGATACGCAACAAACCTTATATCGTAGGAGAGCGATTGGTTCCTCGCCTTTAAATCTTCCGGCGTCAAAGGGAAAACCCCTCATTAGTCCCAATTTTCGACAGCTTTGCAAAATCAACAGTTCTCCTTTCTTTTTTTTTTTTTTTTTTTTTATTGAAGATGTCGATGTCTTTTTTGTTATCCTATACAGCAAGTCAAAGTTTTTTTTTTTTTTTTATGTTTCCTAAACAGCTGGGTCTAAGATTTTCATTGCGTTGCTCCCAATTTCAAGCCAATTGCCATCATTGTGATGAGGAATGACATTGTGTACTCTCGTGTCTGCGTCTCTCTTTTTCTTTCTCTCTCTACCTCTCTCTTTCTCTTCCCTCTCTATGTATATGATGTGTGTGTTTTTTCGCTCCTTTTATGTCTGTCCGTATCTCTGGTTGTGTGACTGTGGATGTGCTAACGCGTAACTATGTTTGTTTTAGTATCCAGAAAACATGGGTTTTTAACCCTTATGCCCGGTATTCACGGATAGTAGCTAAAACACATTTAATTTTGAAACATCCCTTGTAAATGACCGTAAACATAATAAAGAAAACAAAGCTTTCACAAGCGTATTCCCGGGATTTTCTGGACCACTTTGTAGTTATAATTCCCCCGCGCAACACCAGGTAGCCAACTAGACTACTATTTGTGCTATTATTTATATACCAAACATTGCAAAAAACTGATGTCGTATCTTTGTCCTTTTTGTGTCCGTCAAGTGTGCCTTCCTTACCAATGTGTGTCATTGTGGATGTGCTAACCACAGGGGAAAAGATCTCGTTATAAAAACAAGTTTAAACCCACAAATATGAACTATCATCAGGCTAAGGCTCGCTCATGGGAAACATCCCTCAAACATCCATAGACCTACAAATACATTGCAAAGTACCGCCGTGCATTCAGAATATTTCGGAACTTTGCCCTATAATGCCCCACTCTAAAAACAAAGGTAAAAACTAGACACTATTTGTGCTATTATTTATATACCAAACATTGCAATCCTAATCCCAGCCAGTCCACTTGTACTGTGTCGAATTATCACCTCTTTACCATAGCTTGGCATAGATGAGAAGCTCAAGAGCTTTCTCTTGTTTTTCTATTTTTGTACACCCACTGGTTTTATAACTTCGAGAGGGGTAGAATAGCCTAGGGTAAAATAAATATACCAACGGCATCCTTTTCTGGCAGGTCAAGTGACGAACAACTCTGGCAGCATCAGCTAATCCTTGTTTTTCCCTTTTCGCTGATACTGACCACTCCAGCCACTGCAAGGGTCGTGTCATGGATAGTAAACCAAAAGAACGAATCCCAAGAACTCCGTTCAACCAGCAGAGAAGTTACAATTGGGGCACTAATAACGGCTGCACTAGAGTCGACCCCGGTGCACTCTGAAGTATCAATTAGGATAATTGTTCTCAAGCCAGTTGGATTGGATTTTTTACCCCACCAGGACATCACACAAGCGATAAACACCCGATGACACAAAGTGCCACCATGCGGATGAGGATCACCGTGGAGAGGTCCCAGAAACCGCGTTCAGACATTTGGCCATAATGATGACCTGCCTATATTGCGGCCCCTGGCAAAAGCCAGAGTGGGGCTTCAAATAACAAAAAATAACGTCCTAAGAAGGACGAAAAGCAGTAATAATTCTCAAGCCAGTAAGTACGTTTAGTTAAAAACAAATATGGATTCAGCATCTATTCTGAGTATTCTCACTGGCATGAAATCAGAGTCCATTTACATTCAACATACACATTCATATTTGTTTAGCTTCTAAAAACATCCACAGCTCTTGACAACCATATTTGGAATATTTTTTATCACAAGCGTATTATTATTATCGAAATACAGGAATGGTATCGACCCGAACTGGTCAGGGGCACAGCAGGCAATGGGCGCTAACTCGGGGTCCATGAGATGGATCAGTGTTTGAACAATTGCGTGGTTGCTGGCATTCATGCCCTTGTCCAGGGGAAATAAGCACATGCCAGAACAGTAGAAGGCCGAGTATCCGTCTGGGGAGATCAGAAACTGAAAATGGAATGAAAGTAAACTATAAGTAAAGTAAAGGTCCCTTTTCCACGTTCCTTGACGTAAATTTGTTTTAAGTATTTAAACCGTGGGTGTGCCGCGAAATTTATTTTGCCCGACGAAGAAAAAGTTTGAGAAAAG